ACACACACACACACACACACACACACACACACACTATCTGAAGACATCTCCATGGTCATGTGGCCGACATGACTAAACGCCGAAGGAACATTGCCACCTCCTCACCAAAGTGGTCCCTATTGTATTTGAATTTTTACATGCTTTCAAACTGCTAGGTTGTCAGAAGCTGGGACAAGTAATGGGAGCTCACTTCATTACGTGGTGCTAGGGATTCGAACCGCCAAACTGCCAACCTTTCTGATCGACAAGCTCAGCGTCTTAACCAATGAGCCACCACGTCCCTATCTACCTACACTACCAGACCATTGTTTTACCACCTGTTCCTTGCTTCAGTGTCAATTCTTACTCCAAGAACATCCAGAAGTTGAGCTTGTATGTAATAGGAAAGTGGCAGCAACACTGAATCAGCAATTTGGGCCTCAGTATTTCTCAAAGCGGATGAAGGAACATTGGGGAACACAGTAAAATGGGATCGAAGAGGAAGCAACAAGAAGTTCTCTTCAGTAAGATTGACTGAGGCGAATGGAATGGGAGTGCAAATTCCAGCAATTGAATTGTTATTAATTTTAGAATTAATATATATCCCCATGTACATACAAGACAATTCTTTCTAAGTGCCTTCATATAACAGGCCTCTTGGAGAGACTTTCTGCTAGGTGTTTACAAAGAAGTTTTCCAAGTTTCTGAATTTCTAAACACTTAAAGATAACCATTCAATCCTACTTATTTTTAATGTATGGATGCAATGATACAACTCTGGAAGATATATTTATGAAAAAATGGTACTGGTATTTGGAAGCTGGTGCTGATGGGAGGATAAAAACTATTTCAAGTGATCTCAGGTGGATTACAAATTAATTGAATGATGTAGATGCTACACTGGTTTGCCTATCCTGATATTGTCCTGATCCAGGCTTCACAAAAGCACAAAACTAACTCCTTGTCCCGATAAAACCCCTTTTATCTAATTTAAAGTGAATTCCTCTCCAGCAAAGTCCCGGCCAACAGTCTTTCAAGAGATTTCACAACTACAGACCTTTATCAGATTTGGAGAGCTGCCAGGCTAATATCTTCCAAAAGCCACTCTGTAGCAGACAATACTTGGCAAGAAGTCAGGAACAGAACTTCACTCTAATGAATTGAACCAATTGTCTCCTGCAAACTCCCCTCCATTTTCGCTCCTCTTTATTTCCTAATGGGAGGGGCCATTCACCATCCACCTGGTCGACCCTTGCTCCTTAGCTGTTCCCTTCTCCTGGCAGCTCTGTGCTTGTGTACACTGGGAACAGGCTCCAGATGTTCTTCTGCCCCACCGATGTCTGACTCCGAAGGCAGCTGATAACTGTCAGATGGCCTCATCTCTGCCTCCAACACAGAGCACTCATTAGAGTCTTCCCCAGACTCCAGGATTGGCCCATGTTCCTCCCCAACCTCCTCACGGTCCGAATCTGCTGCCAGCTCCGCTATAACACAAAGGTACACTTATTGCCATTATAAACAGATCCATCCACCTTGCTACTCTTTGTCAGGACTTCAGTGTCTTCACTATTAATTGTAAGTTGGTTGCTGTGTCTGGTATCACTTCATTTTCTTTAAATTCTCGGACAGCACTGGCCCCATCTCTGCCTCCGATATAGAGCATTCGTCAGGGTCTTCCCCAGACTCCAGGACTGGCCTCACTGTCTGGATCTGTTGCCCACTGACAGGCCATAACAGGTATGGTACCTTTTAGTCATTATTTCTAAACAATATAAATTAGAATGCACTAATCCATGTCCTCTCTTTTAGTGGCAAAAATCTTCTCTTTGAAAGAGGCATATGGAAAATGAGGAAGCTCTCCATTCGGGGGGGGGGGGGTTGTAAAATTTTTTGAACTTAAAATTTGATATTTTGAATGTTCTATTCCTACAATTGTGAAGTTTTGTTCTGAATTCAGTTCTATTTTTCCCTGTTCTCCGAAAGATTTGTTGTTATTTTTTTTAAAAAAACCCAGAGAGTTAATAAGTAGATCAAGCAACATTTCTATTCTGGTAACATCATCTAGATGAGTGTTTCTCAACCTTGGCAACTTGAAGATGTCTGGACTTCAACTCCCAGAATTCTGGGAGTTGAAGTCCGGACATCTTCAAGTTGCCAAGGTTGAGAAACATTGATCTAGAGCAATGGGTTTCAACCTTCCTAATGCCGCGACCCTTTAATACAGTTCCTCATGTTGTGGTGACCCCCAACCATAAAATTATTTTATGTTTTCCGTATTTTTTAAAAAATATATGTTTTCCAATGGTCTTAGGCAACCCCTGTGAAAGGGTCGTTCGACCCCCAAAGGGGTCTCGGCCCAAAGATTGAGAACCACTGATCTAGAGCTTTAGATAAGAGCAGCCACATACAGCCCAGAATAAGAAGGTTATAATGCAAGTTATGACGGCATACCTTTCAACATCAATGAGCAGAAGACTTAATTTCAAGAAAGTAGAACTACAAGAAAGACTCCAGATGTTGCAGAGAAGTGCTAAGCAATAGCATAATTATTACTAATTAATGGGGATTCTAAACAGGAGCAAGAGGCACTGACTGCTTCAAAATCCCTCCAAATCAACACTAACCAGGTTTGCACAAAATGTGACTTCACCTTTTTCTCTTACAAGTTTTTGTTTTCCAGGAGTTTCTTTCCTATTGATTCTTGAAGGCATCATCCTTGTCATATGAGAAACTACGGAACTAATGAATCTTTTACTATTTTTCATCATGCCATCTAGAGCAACGCTTTTGGCAGGGAAGTTGAAAGAATTAAATTCCCCTCAAAACTTTCCCCTCAAAATGTCTATGAAGATTCTCAATCATCTGGGTGATAGTTGTCCCAAAGGTGCTTTTTCAAAAGGCAACTGGATTTTCTTGATTCTGAGTTGAAGAAGCTTCTTAGATAAGAAACAAAA